TCAGGACCCCAGCCCACCATTGTAACACCATAAATGGGTTTATTTAACATTTTACATAAAACGAGACTCAAGTCACACAGGATATCGGTGGCGCCAGTTTGTCGGGCCTTAGCAATTAAGAAGTCACACCTTTCAAGATTTAATGTTCCCAGGTTGATTAGGGGTCAGGGCGTGTGAGGTGACCTCGCTTCTGCTAGGCTGTTAATTGCAAACGGTTGTCTTGTGTTGTTTTCATCAGACAAGACGCTGTCTAGGTGGTAGATATATAGCCAGAGGCTGTCTCCTGGTAGGTGGAGTTCCACCTACCAGGAGACAGCCTCTGAACTCCCGGTTCCCTCATAAATACCCGTGGAACTGTACATTAGAGATAGATACAGACGGAGAGAGAGAGAAGCCTCGCTACACCTGAGACTCTGGCGGCCCAGGCCGGGGGGGGGACACTGTCAGCTGTCAAAATATACATCACTTTACAATTCACTCACCAAAGTTTCCGAGACTAAATTTGTGGAGAGGAGGTGGGGAGGGTACATAGCTTACCTCAAGGTTAGGTAAGGTACCCTTCTTCCTCCTCTCGACATATTTGGTCTCGGAAACTTTGGTGAGTGAGTTGTAAAGTGATGTATATCTTGATGTCAACTTAGATGTTGTGTGATGTTCAGGGGCGGTCAGCCCTAAGGGCTCTCAGTTGCTTGTGGTGACCTGATCTGAATTCATTTGAACATCAAGTGATATGGTTGAATTATGATAACTATATGATAGAATATATAATAGGACATATATAATTGATTAACTGACTTTTTAAATTGCCTTTAATTGTGATCCCTAGATCTTGGATTTTCTATGATATAGTGAATGGTAGAGTGGAAAGCACTTCGAAGTTTACTGGCTTAAAATTATGACTTAGATATTCTTGGTTATATGAGTTATATTCTTACAGTGAGGACATGATAACATCAGATAATACTGTTGTGCAGACAAGTTCCATTTCTTGTCTTATAGTTAACTAATGAATGGATGGTGGCAGCAACCTTCTGTCTTTCCACTATTCTAGCTCTCTTACTTTCTACTCTTCTATTTACCTCCTTGATCTCATTTTCTCTCTCATTCTAATCTTTCCCTTTCCTCTCTGACCACTCTTTCCTCACCCCTCCCTTCCACCTCTCTACCCCTCTCACCCAATTACTTTTATTCCTTTCTTATCTTCCTTCTATTTCCGATACGTTAACACCCTGACCGGAGGAGGAGGTGGACACCAGGACCCCAGGTGTGGCCAGCCGCAGTGGAAGGTATTGTGGGCCCCGGGCGCTACACTGGTGGGTAATGTACTGAGATGGCAGCCTCCTGCAGGGTGTCGAGGGGCGGGCGCTCACCAGGCGGCCCTCTGGCGGGCTGTGTCCACCTCCCGCCCTCCCTACACGTGACCCACGGGAGGCAGACCGGGTGAGGGCGGTGGGACCTGTAGCTGGGACCACGTGGCAGTGGTGGGACCTGTAGCCGGGACCACGTGGCAGTGGTGGGACCTGTAGCCGGGACCACGTGGCAGTGGTGGGACCTGTAGCCGGGACCACGTGGCAGTGGTGGGACCTGTAGCCGGGACCACGTGGCAGTGGTGGGACCTGTAGCCGGGACCACGTGGCAGTGGTGGGACCTGTAGCCGGGACCACGTGGCAGTGGTGGGACCTGTAGCCGGGACCACGTGGCAGTGGTGGGACCTGTAGCCGGGACCACGTGGCAGTGGTGGGACCTGTAGCCGGGACCACGTGGCAGTGGTGGGACCTGTAGCTGGGACCACGTGGCAGCTCCGGCACCCGAACATTCCACAACACGACCATTGGCTGAACAAAAACAGAGAGGTTGATCTTGTCCGTGTAGCATTCCAGGGCTCTGTGGAAGTACCTTCTGTGTGTGTGTATACTCCGCTAGTTGTACTAGCGGTGGTGTTGAGCTTCGGCTCCTTGGTCCCGTCTCTCAACTTGTTGCCCGAAACGCTGTGCGTATTAGTGGCTTTAGGCATAGTATGTACTAGCTCTATCTAGAAATCCAACATTCTATTTGTAAGTCATTTTGTTTGCATGTACTTTTACCTCAATTTATTAGTATCATTATAACTTTCCGTCAAGTGTGTGCGTGTCTGGCACAGGAATAAGCTTGTTAAGGGTATGGGGAGAATGGCTCCGCGTGTGGGGAAGGTGAGGGTAAACAACCTTCGTTACCTTGAAGGTCGTTACCTTGAAGGTAACGACCTTGTCATTATTACCCTGTGCTGGCTCCCCATTAACCTTACTGTGTGAGTGTGTGAGACGTGTGAGTAATTCCTCACACACGGGGCCTGGGTTGGTAATGCTCAGGGCTGCTGGCCTGGGTGTTCCATCATGGCCTCTGTGCTCACTGGTCGTACCCACGCTCGCCAGGAGATAATAAGCGCTCGCGGCTGATCTGTTACCTGTGGCAGCTCTCGGTCTGCAGTTAGGTGATGGTATGAGTAGGTGGTGACGGTGTGTGGTGGTGGTGGTGACGGTGTGTGGTGGTGGTGGTGGTGACGGTGTGTGGTGGTGGTGGTGACGGTGTGTGGTGGTGGTGGTGGTGGTGGTGGTGACGGTGTGTGGTGACGGTGTGTGGTTGTGGTAGTTCGTCACAGTTTACACAGGACCCAGCTGTCTCTTGTGGTTGGTCCTGTTGCTTCCTCCACCTGTCCTTACAACTAATACGTCGTTAGAGAACCAACGGACCATATGTAACGTTGGTGCTAAATATAACACACTCACCCTGACCTCCATAACACACTCACCCTGACCTCCATAACACACTCACCCTGGCCCCCGTAACACACTCACCCTGACCATCATAACACACTCACCCTGACCTGTATAATGTTCTCATGCTCCCGCCTCCCACCATGTCAGGCCTCTACCACTGCTGCGTTCTTACTGAGCTCAATAATATCGTTTACAATTTTATATTTCTCTAATTTGCTCTGACCTTCCCTCTCCTTGTGCGACAAGACTTGACTGTGAGTGATATTGTGTGTCTGTCATGTCTTAGTCTTGGAACTGTCAGCGTTGAAAATCATATTGATTGATGTATGATTGTAGGTATGCACATATTGATTGATGTATGATTGTAGGTATGCACATATTGATTGATGTATGATTGTAGGTATGCACATATTGATTGATGTATGATTGTAGGTATGCAGTCATCTTGGCCACACATGTTGGCAGTGTGTGGGAGGGGAGAGAGGAAGGTGTTCTCGTGTGTACTCACCTAGTTGTGCTTGTGGGGGTTGAGCTCTGGCTCTTTGGTCCCCCGCCTCTCAACTGTCAATCATATCTACATTTGAAACTGTGTATGGAGTCAGCCTCTACCACATCACTGCCTAATGCATTCCATTTACTGACTACTCTGATACTGAAAAGTTCTTTCTAATGTGTGTGTGTGTGTGTGTGTGTGTGTGTGTGTGTGTGTGTGTGTGTGTGTGTGTGTACTGTGGAGTGAAACTTCCTCTGCCCCTGGTTCCTGCTGGGCTTAATGTTACTGACAGGTTGATGTAATCAAAGATTGATCAACTTGATAGCGCGTGATGTCCTCACGCGCCATCCGTAGCGCGTGAGGACATCATCTTAACATCCATCTTAACTTTGAGTATACTTTGATGTCTCTCTTAATAAGGCTCTCCACAAGCTAGGTCACCGTATTTGATCCCACCTTCTCCACTAGCTAGTGTCACTGTACTACACCACTAGCTAGTGTCACTGTACTACACCACTAGGTTCTGTCACTGTACTACACCACTAGCTAGTGTCACTGTACTACACCACTAGGTTCTGTCACTGTACTACACCACTAGCTAGTGTCACTGTACTACACCACTAGCTAGTGTCACTGTACTACACCACTAGCTAGTGTCACTGTACTACACCACTAGGTTCTGTCACTGTACTACACCACTAGGTTCTGTCACTGTACTACACCACTAGCTAGTGTCACTGTACTACACCACTAGGTTCTGTCACTGTACTACACCACTAGCTAGTGTCACTGTACTACACCACTAGGTTCTGTCACTGTACTACACCACTAGGTTCTGTCACTGTACTACACCACTAGCTAGTGTCACTGTACTACACCACTAGGTTCTGTCACTGTACTGCTCCACTAGGTACTGTCACTGTACTGCACCACCTTCTCCACAAGCTAAGTTCACCGCAAGTATCCAATCCACACACCTTCCCTTCACCCAACAGTGAGTGGGTCCTTTACACCGTCCACGCACTCACACGCTCCTGCCACTCAGTGCACTGTTAGCGGACCCCACGCCATCACCCACATGGCTCTGTATCGCACAATTTAGCAAAGTATTACAACTGTCCACTACAGTACTGCAGTCTGTGAGTGATTGACGCCTCAGCAGTGCTTCCAGTAGTTGGCTGTGATTGGCCTGTTGGGTACGAGGGGCGGTGTTGGGGGGTTAAGGTGTATATAAGCCATTGATGTGGTCACGTTAGTGTGATTACTCTCTGGGTGTATTGAAAGAGGAGCGTCAAGAGGTAGAACATTCCTTGATGACAACGCCGAAGTACATGGGGGGGATTGTGTGAAGATCCTCCAGGTTGCAAGCCTTATACTGTGTCGTGATCTGGTCGCTACGGCGTGTGCACCCAACGTATAGGTTCGATTCCCTATCACAGCTCCTACGGATTTTCTCAATTAAAATGAATCACTGTTATTTTCATAATTATCATTTGAATGAGATTGACAGTGTTGTATGCCAGTATTGTAATAACAAGCAGGATATACCTAACATTGACACGTGTGTGCTTAGTTGGAGCGCATGCCAAGTGCTGGGCGCTCACCTGGGGGGCTCACCTGGGGGGGCTCACCTGGGGGGCTCACCTGGGGGCTCGTCTGGGTGCTCCAGGTGCGGGCCAAGCTCGGCTATGATGTAGCTCTCAACCCTCAAAGGTGTACATCTTCTGACCCGTCCTCACTCTCTGTTTCAG